TAAAATTTTAAAGAGTAAAGAGAGTTTTGAGACAAACAGAGCAGAGCCGTGTGTACGATCAGCCAGCACCCGAACGGTGATTTTCCAAAATACCCTTACAATAAGTGTTAAAAGATACGTTATGCTATGCTATATGATGAATTATGCTATGCATGCTAGAGTATACTAGGTATTCTTATTAGGACTAGAGTGGCGTGATATATGATGCCTTAGTCTAGGGGTTTTGCTGCTAAAGATGCTTGAGAGTGTTTAGATAGCAGCAAGGAGCTTATGAGAGATTTGCTACTGTGTAGCACATGATTAGAGAGAATAGCGTACTTGGGATTTTGGACTCTAGGAGGAGGACTTGGAGTGAATGGTGAGTCGGTGTGGTCGGTAGTATTGGGCCCGTACTACCGAAGGCACCGGGTCAGTGCGCAACCCAAGTAAGAATCCTTAGGGTACTAGAGATCAAGTAGGATTGGGATATCGAGTGTGTATACATCCGAGCAAATTACTGATATCTTATGTTGTATTTCAGAGAGGCATCATGGTAGGGACACGTCACAGACCAAGGACCAGTGAAGGGGGTGTGAGCGACGAGGAGCTCTACCAGATGATTCATGATGAGGTAGCTGCTGTCATCCGCGATGAGATTCCAGAGATGTTCGGGTCTATCAAGACCACCCTGATAGAGAAATTTGATGAGAGATATGCTGCTCTTTCTGATGCTGCTGTTGCTGCGGCCACTGCACCTGTAGCTGCGGCTAGACCGTAGGGTGGTGATACGTTGCTGTTCCGGGAGTTCAGCAACACAAAACCACCGGAGTTTGATGGGACCTAGGACCCGATTGCAGCAATGAGGTGGATATCAGACATAGAGGGATGTTTCTTTACTTGCTCATCTCCTGAGCATTTGAGATTCCGGTTCGCGCTGAACCAGCTTCGCTTGGGAGCGAAGGATTGGTGGAAGTTTGTTACGGCGCATTATTCTCCTGCTGAGCTTGCTGCAGTGACTTGGGAGAGGTTCACTGCTATGTTCCGAGATGAGTTCGTTCCCCAGGTGGAGAAGGAGCGTTTGGCCCAGGAGTTTCTGACCCTTAAGCAGGGTACTGATTATGTCACAGTGATTACGAGGATGTTCCATGAGCGGGCGATGTTTTGCCCAGAGCACGTGTCCTCCGAGCAGGCACGTATGAGCCATTATCTGAGTATTTTGAGGAGGGATATACGGGAGGGCGTGGCGAACTCGACATACCGGACATTTTCTGAGCTTCAGGCAAATACCCGGAAGAGGGAGATAAAGCTGGAGACCCAGGCTAGGGAGGAGGTTGAGTCTAAGGGGAGGGATCGACGACCGGCACAGTCTCAGCCGGAAGCCAAGCGGGCCAAGCCCGCTGATTCGAGATATGGGAGTCAGAAGGGCCGCACTTGTGGTAAGTGCAGTAAGATCCACGATGGGGTGTGCAGAGCGGGTCTTGCTACAAATGTGGCAAGGAGGGGCATATAGCTAAGGATTGCCCCAAGGGGTTTGCGGTATGCTTTCACTGCAACCAGACTGGACACCGCAAGCCAGAGTGTCCACAGTTATGAGGGACGGCCCAGGGAGCACCTTAGGGATCTGCCCCTGCTGCTATCAGAGCTACTGAGAGCCAGCCAGTGAAGGTCGAGGTACCGAAGGCACGAGGGAGAGCCTTCCAGTTGACTGCGGAGGAGGTCCGCGCAGCGCCCGATGTCGTTGCTGGTATGTATTCTTTCATATATTTACTTTTATGTTGAGATATTGTGCTTATATTATGATATGCGTAGGTACTTTTCTTGTGAATTCTGTACCTGCCTTTATCTTTGGGTTTTAGTCAGCACATCACTATTAGTCGAGAGGCATTGAGTCGACCTCTGAGAGTTTCCATAGCTGACGAAAGAGTGATGTATGCCACCGAGGTGATCCGAAGGTGTGTACTCGAGATTTTCGGCGTTGAGTTTCCGATTGATCTAATTCCTATTGCGATGGGAGATGTCTATGTCATCGTGGGCATGGACTGGTTTAGCAAATTTGGAGCAGTTATCGACTGCGAGAGATAGGTGGTGACCATACGAGACCCTAATGGGGGAGTTCTTTCAGTGTACGACTAGGGTAGGCGTTCTGGGTCGGCATTTTGTTTAGCCGCTAGAGCGAGGCAGAGTCTATAGCAGGGCTGTAAGGGATTTGTAGCATATGCGATGGATACGAGGGTTGATTCAAAGAGACTGAGGTCAGTAGATGAGGTTCCGATAGTGCGTGAGTTCCCGGATGTATTTCCGGAAGAGTTACCGGGTGTGCCTCCCGAGAGGTAGGTTGAGTTCAGCATCGATTTGGTTCCGGGGGCTGCGCCTATCGCCAAGGCGCCTTATCGCCTTGCACCTCCAGAGATGCAGGAGTTATCCTCGCAACTTTAGGAGCTGCTGGGGAAGAGGTTTATTCAGCCGAGCAGTTCGCCATGGGGAGCGCCTATCCTTTTTGTTAAGAAAAAGGATGGCTCACACCGGATGTGCATTGATTACAGGGAATTGAACAAGCTGACGGTCAAGAACCGTTACCTGTTGCCGAGGATCGATGATCTGTTCGATCAGTTGCTGGAAGCATCTTGGTTCTCCAAGATCGATTTGAGGTCGGGATATCATCAGGTGAGGGTGCGAGATGAGGACATCCAGAAGACAACGTTCAAGACTCGTTACGAGCATTACGAGGTCGTGGTGATGCCTTTCGGGCTCACCAATGCACCGACGGTGTTCATGGATCTCATGAACAGAGTGTGTAGGCCGATGTTGGATCGCTCAGTGATCGTGTTCAATGACGACATATTGGTGTATTCGAGATCCAGAGAGCAGCATGAGGAACATTTGAGAGAGATCCTCGGAGTTTTGAGATCAGAGAGGCTTTATGCCAAATTCTCCAAGTGTGATTTTTGGTTACAAGAGGTTCAGTTTCTAGGGCATCTCATTAACCAGAAAGGGATATTGGTCGATCCGGCCAAGATTGAGGCGGTGATGAGTCAGGAGGTGCCGAGGTCACCTACAGAGATCAGGAGTTTCCTAGGATTGGCAGGCTATTATCGAAGATTTATCAGGGATTTCTCCAAGATCGTTGTGCCACTTACCAAGTTGACCCAAAAGGACGTTGCTTTCTCATGGGGCCCAGAGCAGCAGGCCTCCTTCGAGACACTTCGCCAAAGGCTATGCGAAGCCCCAGTGTTAGCCCTTCCGGAGGGGATGGAGGACTTCATAGTGTATTGTGACGCGTCAATATCGGGGTTGGGAGCGGTGCTTATGCAGAGGGGTCATGTAATAGCATACGCATCGAGGCAGCTGAAGCCTCAAGAGATGAGGTATCCCACCCACGATCTAGAGTTGGGGCCGGTGGTGTTCGCCCTCAAGATCTGGCATCACTATCTGTATGGATTCGGTGTACCATATACACGGACCACAAGAGCCTGAAGTATCTAATGGATCAGCCCAACTTGAATATGCGCTAGAGGAGATGGTTTGTGAGATCCTGTACCACCCGAGCAAGGCTAATGTTATAGCCGATGCACTGAGCCGTAGGGCGGAGGGCGCCCTGATGCGGGATGTTTGTTTGAGATTGACAGTGATGAATCCGGTGTTGGACACCATTCGTGGGGCCCAGGCTGAGGCCGTGAGACCAGAAAGCCAGAAGAGAGAGAGAGAGAGAGAGAGAGAGAGTTGTTGGGCTGGTATCGGAGTTCGTTACCGATAGTCGGGGGCTTATGATATTTCAGGGTCGGATATGGGTACCGTTTGTGGGCGGGACGCGTACCATTTTGATGGAAGAGTCTCATCGATCGATGTTCTCGATCCATCTCGGGACCACTAAGATGTATTTAGATCTGAAGAAAGAGTATTGGTGGCCCTGTATGAAGAGGGACGTCGTGTGGTTCGTTGAGAGGTGCCTAACCTGTCGTAGGGTTAAGGCTGAGCACCAGAGACCGCATGGTAAGTTGCAGCCATTAGAGGTTCCCGAGTGGAAGTGAGAGCAGATTACTATGGATTTTATCACCAAATTGCCGAGGACTGCGAGGGGCGTCGATGCAATTTGGGTGATTGTAGACAGGTTGACGAAGAGCGCTCACTTGCTTGCTATTAGCGAGAGCTCTTCTGCGGAGAGGCTAGCAGAGTTGTACGTGAGAGAGGTGGAATCGCGGCATGGGGTACCGGTCTCGATTGTTTTAGATCGAGATGTACGTTTCACTTCTAGGTTCAGGAAGAAGTTTCATGAGGAATTGGGTACGAGGCTGCATTTTAGTACCGCATACCACCCACAGACTGACGGGCAGAGTGAGCGGACGATTCAGACGCTCGAGGACATGCTCCGAGCATGTGTGTTGGATTTTCGTGGGAGTTGGGACACGTATTCACTACTAGAAAAACAGCCTTTTACGACGCTCATTGCGCGTCGTAAAACGCTCAGACGACGCGCAAATGCGCGTCAAGGAAGGCCCTGTCATAAAGAGAGACGACGCGCATTTACGACGCGCATTTATGATGCGCATTTACGACGCGCGGTTATGACACGCAATGCGTATCAAGGAAGGCCCTGTCATAAAGGAAGACGACACGTATTTGCGTGTCGTAATCTTACGACGCGCGTGTTTATGACTCGCAATGCGTATCAAGGAAGTCCCTGTCAAGAAAGGCCATGTCATAAATAAAGACGACACACATTTTTGTGTATCGTTATTTTAATTTTTTATTTTTAATTATTTATAGATATACTAGTTTTCAAATTAAATTTGCATTTTCATAATAAAAAATAAAATAACATATACAAAAAATACAATACATTGCACAAAATTTAATGTCATACAAATAATCCTTCCAATAGTAGACAAATGCAACATTTCATGGAAAGATAAAAACAAATCAATAGTTGTAAAAAAAATTTACAAACTAATTAGATACAAGAAGTATCAAAAAAATACCCTCAAATGCTTTTCAAAGTCCAATCTCCATGTCAGCTCTTCAACTCACTTCTCCATCTTCAACTCACTTCTCCATTTTGTTCTTAGGTTCATGTAAGGGCTAGCTCCAGCATCTCTTGCAGTTTCAAAGGCAGAAAGAAGAACAGAACGTGATATTATTTTGCCATTGGAAAGCTATGTTAACTCTTTTTTTTAAAAAAATTTAGAAAAAGAATCTGCTTCTCTAAGATATTATCCAACAACAATGCTAAAACATGTTTAAAAGTTAAATGCAAAAAAGAGAACCTGTTCTATGACAATTCCATTAACAGACCTAGAAAGAATTGCACGTGACTTTATACCCCTTTCAGATTGTGGAGCTTTTTCAGACTCAACTCCATCCTACAAAATACAACATCAATCAAGAAAAATATATAAGTAAACATGCAAAACCACAAAACATACAATAAAACATAATATTATAACTATTAACGATATATTAACCACACCTTTTGCCTCGACACTGTTGTTGCAAGCTTAGAGGATTTCACTTGCTGCAAGGTAACCTCCACCACTTTACTCCCACACACAAAATTCGGGTGTGATGTGTTTATGTAATCCATCTACCCAAAAAAGCAATATTTTCAGCCATGTCACGATAAAAATAAAAAATAGAGATAATGATACGTACCTCCATTTCAACTATGTGCCCAATCATGGTTTCAGAAGGCTGAAGACCATCACTTAAAAAATTCCCTATGACATCATCCATTCTCTTTCTGAGAACAGGAAATCTCTGTAACTCATTCACCATACATCGATGGCCCATCTAAAACATGAACAAATCAGTCAGCTTAGTGTCCAATTATATGAATCTTGCACATTGAAGGCTTGGATCTAGTAAACAAGCAATCTGTCGTCTAATTAGAACTTCAAATGGAAACTGCTCTTGCAAGAGACTCTGCTCTCTCTGTTTTAGGAATTTTATAAATTCAACAGAAGAGATTCACAACTTTACATTAAAAAAACACATCTTTAAAGATATAGTTAATTTTGCATTCAATGCAAAATATCTGAAAATAAAAATTCATGTAAGACATGATATTCTTTCAGAAAGTGTCAAAATTTGAATAAAAATATAAAACATGAATTTTTAGAAAGATTAAAAAGACGTACCTGCAGAGCCATCTTTGAATGAGTTGTGTGGACACTCAAATTGTAGTAGATTTCCAAAAAGAAAATAGAAAAAGAAGAACGGGATATACCCTTTTCTTACCTGGCATGTGTCAATAAGTTGCACAATCCGGACAAAAACCTGTGTATCATGGTAAGGTAGAGCACATAAATTCAATTCATCAATGTTGTATATATGAATCCTGTTGAATAAAATGCAGAATAACATAATAACCGATATGTTGACATACGAAAATGTGAAATGACATGAAAAAGTGAAGCTTGAATGGTAATACATACTTGTATCTACAGATTAGATATTTAAGTGTCCTTAGTGCTGAAGGTAACTTAAAATGTCCGGACAACAGCCTCAAATAAGTTCTCGATCCAGTTCTCTACTCTTATGAAATCAAGACCACCTCAACTTAAAGGTACCTGTTGCAAGTGAAATTTGTGCCACCACGACACTCCCCTTTCCACTTTTCGGGAATTGGTCGGAGGCCTTCATCACTGAAGCTCTCCGAATCTGGCCATATTCCACTGTCTATGACACCAATAATCGAGTTGCTCTCACCAATGGGACTTCGTTCAATTGTTATTGGAAATCCAATAAAGTCCCACGACCTCGTTGTCTGGAGGTGCAACTTTTGACATGGGAATACGGAGACGATCCCTTCATAACCTGCATTTAATTAGGGTTTTAGCCAATCTTAGCAAAGCATATACTACATATATATATATATATATATATATATATATATATATATATATATATATATATATATATATATATATATGTGTGTGTGTGTATCTACATCCACAATTAGTCAATTATATATAAAAGTTCATGTGGATCGTATCGAGTTCTTGTTTTCACAGTTTATGATGTCATTTTTGATGCATCTCAAATTCTGTGTGGTTAAGAAATTTTGATTGATGGAAAAAAGTAGTCGTACAAACGCACTCTCACTGAATTAATTAAGAGGCTGTGTACGATCAATACTAACATTAAACCATTGTAACTGTTTTGGAAAATGTTTCTCATTTATTTTGTTGCTTTCTTGTTTCTTAATTTTGTATAATTATTTTGTCAATTTTATGTGATTATTTTTTTCTGTTACTTGTATTTTTGTTTCATGATAAATTCTAAAAACTTGAAGGAAATCTAAATGAAGCAAAATCTAGTCATTGATACTTACCAGCCAACTTTCGTTTTTCTTCTTGGGAGAGATAGGCAGCAAATCCATTAAAGCTTCTTTGGTAACCCCTTATCAGGGCTTTTCTTGAGAACCTGGTCCCATTTAAAGATATAAACAAAACATATTTGTGGTTTCAAAAATGAAAATGCAATTCAAAGAAATACCTAGGGCTGGTAATATTTTTCAAGATTTCAAAGTGATGCAAAGAAGGTGAATATTCTCCTTCTGGAAGAAATCATGTAGGCAATAAAAACCTGCAGAAAAGATTAATTTGCATTAGAATCACGAGTTAAATCCAAGATTAATTTACATTAAGTGTTGTCTATAAACGATATCTAAAAAAGGACGGTAAAATTGGGGAAAATTCAAGTAAAAACCAAACGAGGGAAATTTGTAAAATTGATACAACTTAATAAGAAAGACTTTTCTATTAAGTCATTGTATCTGCATTAAGTAAAAAAAAACACTCATATATAGCATTCATGTCCCTATTAAGTAAAAAAAAAGTGACAGAACCTTAGCTAGGTCAAAGGGGCCAAGTTTTACTTTAATAAACGTACGATGAAAGGGGCAAAAGATGTGGGTCCTACACAAAAAAGTATAAATCTATCAACAACCAACATGACAAAAACAAAAAAACTTAAACATGAGATGCTACAATACCGATGTCTTTCCACCTAAGAGAGTTCCTAATTTTTTTTGTCTGTTTAGTGTGCTCATCACTTTTTTATGAAGACAACAGATACATATGTATAGGAAAGTTAAATTCCAAGTCAAAGCAACAAACAATTCAAATTCGAGAAAAGTTAAAATGTGCTAAAGACATAACCCTTTCTCCCAAATTATCCCGCTTCTGTATAAAACACTTATTAAATCAACCCACTACTATATTAAAGGCTAAAGATAAAGTTAGAAGTAAAGATAGCAATAAAAAGTCAACCAACACTTTAATAAAGGCTATGATTTAAAATAACATTTTTGATAAAGTTAGAAGTAAAAAATGTTGCTTGGTTGATAAACTGGAAAGGAAAAAAGCATTAACCAAGGAATGTCATTCCATACCATATGAGACCCTTATTTTTTTCATTCCATGTCTTCAAGGAATGACAGTTACCATTTTACCCTTTATAAAATATAAAGGCTCATTTTCAATCTACCAAAATAACCCTTCCAAATCATTTTAATCCACTTGGAAGCCAAACACGCGAGGGCTGGTTCGGATTCGGTGTCACGGCGCTGCGATTTCGTTCCAGACCCGGTCAACAGTAGCTCTAGCAAGATCTTGAGTCATACCCTGAACTTGACTAGTAAGTTTTTGGCGAGTAGAAGTCAACTCCTTAATACCAGCATGTAATTGCATAAGCTCAGCACACATAGCTTCTACTCCATGAAGCTGAAGGAAAAATCATATGAATTTTTTTATAATCATATATGTAAATGAATTTGATAATCAGGTTTGCGTAGCAATAAACAAATAGTCAATCGGATGAAATAGATCTGTGTTAATGAACATATTTGAAGCAGTGGCGGAGCTTGAATAACTAACTTGGGGGGACCGAAAATATTATGAACTGAAATTAACATTCTTAAAAAAAACCAAATTGTTTTCAACAAATAAACACCAAAAACATATAGAAAAATGATTACAACTCAGCCCGACAACCTTTAATATCTTTAAATTCATCAATTCGTTTCTTTATCATCTACCTTTCTTTTGTAAAAATAATCTAAGGTTTTCATCTTTCCCATGATTATATCTATAAAAATCAAAATGAAGGAACAATTATTCAATCAAAATAAAAAATATAACAATAACCAATAACTCATTTAACAATTAACAATATGTGAAAACTGAAAAATGAAAAAAATGAACTGAAATAAAAAGTGATTAAGTGAAAACAGATCAATGACCAAATGACTAAATGACCAAATCAATAATCTCTTGTTGATTTTCAGTTTTGTTTGAAGCATAAGTGCATAACCAAATGACCAAATCAATAATTAGTTTTGTTTGAAGCATAAGTGCATAACCAAATGACCAAATCAATAATTAGTTTTGTTTGAAGCATAAGTGCATAACCAAATGAGCAAATCAATAATTTTCTGTTCCTTTTTGGTGTCCTACAGCTTACATTAAATCATAAGTCATAACTGTCAGCAATTAATTTAATCCAAAACTGAAATCAAAAGGTTATTAATTGGCATTTGGCAAATGACAGCCAAGTTAAAAAGAAATTCTAATTCCTAATTTGGAGTTTGGACATTGAGAATTAGGGAAACTCAAAAACAGCAAATAGTAGCAGCAATGCAGTAGCAGCACAACAATGAACAATCAACATTCAGCAATCAACAATCAAAAGAATTAAAGAAAGAACAGCAGAAGTAGAGAACTAGAAAAGAAAGAACAGGATTCGCCGATTCGGGAATCGGGATTCCATACGAGACCATACCTGATTTCTGATTTTCTATTTTCTGTAAATGGCGACTTCAAGACTTGGCGAATGGCGATGGCTGATGGCGAGACTTCAGACTCGAGAGTGAGACCAGGCGGAGACAGCGACAGTGCGACACAATGTAAGACAGCAATAAAGGTCACAGAAAGCGAGAAGTGATTTAGCGAATTGGGAAATTGGATGAACGATTTTGATTTCTTGAAGAATCGCTTGGAGAATTCCTATATTGGACTATTGGAGATTTGGAGCCTATGAGGGATCGGAATGGGCCAAAGCCCAAATTTAAAAAGAGCAGGCCAATAACAAAAAAATTTTGAACTATAATTCCTGCTTCTAGCCCAAAAATCAGGGGGGGCCACTGCCCCTCCTGGCCCCAAAGAAACTCCGCCCCTGATTTGAAGTCTATGTGACATTTATCGAACATAAATCCACTTTTTCTCAAATTTATTTAAGCCTTAAATTAATGATTTAAGGCTTTGTTTTGATTTTTTTTTTCTTAAAAATTCTCATCTCAATCTACAACTGTGAGACCTAATCCTTCCATTGCGATTTAAATAACATTCAATTAACTAAGTAAACCACATCCATTAATTAAACACAAAAAAAATAGATCAGACCAACTGAAGCTGAAATTGGATAACACTAACGATATTAAATAGGGCTAGAATGTGAGAAATTAGAAGATTTGAACAACACAAAAAGAAAGAAGGGATAAGAGATTACCAGTAGAAATGAGAAATTAGAAGATCCGAACAGAGAAATCTTTAAATTTGATCATTTATAACTAAAAAAATTGAAATATCACAGGTGAAATTAGATGTAAAACACATACCTCGACGATGTGGTTTTACCCAAGAATTCAGTGGTTCTGAGCATGGTGATGTACATTGAGTCGATTTCATGAGGGCTTTGGGATAGGATGAGGGTTTTTGGTGTTGGTAACCCTCCCTAACCTACACCTACACCTAAATGTGGTGGTGTACCACTACCATTTGACTCTCCTCTATTGTTCCCCTGGATTCTAACTACCAACAACATTCAACATAAAAGGGAGAACAGAGAAAGGAGAAGAAAAATCCATAAAAAAGAGAGCGAGAATAAAGATAGTAAAAAATGAGTAGATGAGATGGTCCAACAACCTACCTGATGGAAGAGACCGAGGGAGGAACAATGAAGACATGTTGGGACAGTGATGGAAGCGAGGAGCATGGTCGTCCAGGTTTTAGGGGAGAAATCAAACTAGTTTCTTCCTTATTTTTGGAGGACGGATCTGAAGAGATCGAGAAGAAAAATCCATAGCTGGATGATTTTATGACGAGGAGGATGGTTGCGGGGAGGTGATCCTATACTCACCGGAGAAGAAGTAAGCCTGAAGTGAGATCGTCGATTTTTGTAGAGGCCTGGGAGGACCGATCGAGAATCGGAGAGCATTTTGAATTTTCTTGAAAAAGCCCTAGGTAGAATGATTCTTGAAAAAGCCCTATGAATTCAGATGAGAAATTAGGGCTCGTATGAAGCTGTATCTCTTCCGTCGAGAACCCTATGGGTTTGATATGTTCAAAAGACGGGATTATATTGCAATTTTGTTGTGGAAAAAAAGAGGATTGGTGATGTTATTAGGGTTTTTTGGGTATTAGAGTGAGAGAGATAGAGAGAGAAAAAGAGAGAGATAGAGAGAGAGAGAGAAGAACGATGGAAATAAGGGAGAGGGTAACAAGAGTGAGAGAGATAGAGAAAGAGAGAGAGAGAGAGAGAGAGAGAAGAAGAAGAAGAAGAAGAAGAAGAAGAACGATGGAAATAAGGCAGAGGGTAACAATGGCGGCCTTTCAAACGTTTGGGATTTTCGTTTCCCCCCAGCTGCAAAGGAAAAGAACGCGCCTTTCATTAAAAAAATATAAAGCGACATTTCTAGACGTCACCCATTTTTAAATAAGTGCCCTCCGTGTTTTTATTTTCTTTTGTTCAACATTAATTTTAGGGCACACATAAAAGCGTGTCCACTATCCTTCAAATTTTAGAAGAGATAACATTATTTTTAGGGCACACACTTTAGCGTATCGTAAATCACCGCGTGTCATTGTTTACGCGTCATTAAAGGCCTGTTTTCTAGTAGTGATTTGCCCTTGGCAGAGTTTTCCTACAACAACAACCATCATTCGAGCATTGGTATACCACCCTTTGAGCTGTTGTATGGGAGGAGGTGTCGGACCCCCATTTGCTGGGGAGAGGTAGGGAAATGCGTGATGGGTAGTACAGAGATCGTGCTTCAGACGACTGAGCAGATATAGCAGGTTAGACAGAGGTTTTTGACCGCTCAGATTCGTCAGAAGAGTTATGCGGACAGGCGCCAGTCCGAGCTCGAGTTTCAGGTCTGCGACTTCGTGCTCCAGAAGGTCTCTCCTTGGAAAGGAGTGATCCGATTCAGGAAGAGGGGCAAGTTGGGGCCCCGATATATTGATCCTTTCAGGGTGATCGCGAGAGTAGGCAGGGTAACCTACCGTTTGGAGCTACCTGCAGAGTTGGGTCAGATTCATGACACCTTCCACGTGTTGCAGCTGAGGAAGTGTATAGCCGACGAGTCGGCAGTGGTACCATTAGAGGATATTCAGGTGGATGTGAGCCTGAACTATGTTGAGAGACCGGTGGCAATTAGAGATCGGAAGATCAAGGTTCTGAGGAACAAGGAAGTGCCTCTGGTGCAGGTCAAGTGGCAACATAGGAAAGGGTCAAAGCTGACTTGGGAGCCGGAGCACGAGATGCGTGAGCAGCATCCAGAGTTGTTTGCAGACTGAGACTTCGAGAGCGAAGTCTGATTCTAGTGGGGGAGAATTGTAACATACGGATTCCCAGGTTTATTATTTTATTCATTTATTTTTTGGAGTTTGTGGAGGGACTCGGCGAGTTGGTGTTTAGATTCGCCGAGTAGGGTCGCGGATTCTCATCCGGGTTCATAACTGGACTCGACGAGTCCATGCTGTTTAATGAAACCCTAATTTCCCTTGTTTGGGACTTATTTAAAGTCCCTTAGGGTCGTCATTTGCGGCTACCAAACCCCAGAAAGAAACTCTAAGAGATCTAAAGCGTTTGTGAGGAAGGAGAGGCCATTTTTGATCATTTTGTTGGTGTGATTGCAAGAAGGAGGTGACCAAGGCAATAGGAAGCTGAAGGAGGAGCAGTTCTGGTGATTTCAGAGTTCAGAGACTTCATCTTGAGGTATTTATTCGGACCTTCTTCAGATTTGGTGTTGATTCTTAGAGTTAGGGTTTTCTAACCCCTTTAGAGAATGGATATGTGGAGCAATTGGTCCCTTCTCGAGTTTATGCTTTGGATCTGGACTCAAAGAGGTCCAGAGACCTTAACCCTTGGAGCTTTATGGGTTATTTTGGGAGCCATGAACTTAGGATGTTATTTTTGGGGCTAAATCACCAAGTGGAACCTTTTAGACGTCCCATGAGTGTCAAGATTCGAGCTTTACGTGTTTATCAGGCTTGGAAAGGTCAGATCTATGGACTAATGGAATAGATCTGACCTCAGGAGGTCAAGTGAGTCTGTGTATGGCATGAACTCGCCGAGTCCAAGGGCAGACTCGACGAGTAGGGGTAGGGTTTCCAGTAAATCACTCAGCGAGCAGACCTGCCGAGTTGGGGGAATAACTCAGTGAGTCAGAGAGGGATTAGAGGACTGGAGTTAATGGTGGAACTCGCCGAGTTGTTCTTGAGACTCGGCGAGTTGAGTAGGGGTAGCCCCGCGATTCACGCCAGGTTTGACTCATCGAGCAAGGGGAGGGAATCGACATGCCAAGTGGGACTAAGGAGTTAGTGGACACGTGTAGACTCACCGAGTTGCCCAAGTGCACTCGACGTGTCGGGTCAAAGTTTGACCGTTGACTTTGGTTGACTTTTAGGGTTTGGTCAACAATGAGGTCCTTTGAGCTAAAGGAGGGGTAAAATTGTCTTTTACCCTTCCAAGGGTGCCAAGAGAGGGTTGAGTCTAGTCTTGAGAATTATATTTATGAGAGTATTACTTTATGTGATTAGGTGGAGGCTAGATCTTATTTCTACCGAGTTTGAGATTTACCGAAACATCTGAGGAGAGTCTTCTCACTATACTTTACCTTAAGTGGTATTTAGAGTCATGTGACAGAGTTATTGTATGCTATCTATGTGATGTGTTGCATTGCATTATTTCTATGTGATTTATGCCATGTGTATATCAGCGTATATCAGAGTTAGAACCGGAGGGTTCACAGAGTTAGGACCAGAGGGTCCATAGAGTTAGGGCCCAAGGGCCCACAGAGTTATAGCCTCGAGTGGTTAGTATGTGTTATGTGCAGTATTTTGGGGAACTCACTAAGCTTTATGCTTACAGTGTTATGTGTTATGTGTTATGTGTTATGTGTTATGTGTTTCAGGTACCAGTGATGATCGCAGGAAGGCGCCGGCATGATTCGTACACACACATGAGGTTATGTATTTTGATCTTGGGATACATTTTGTGAAACAAAGTAATGATATAATGGGATTTTGTTAATAAATATGTTTGGAAAATGTGTTTTAAAATGCGAAAATTTGATTTAAATTTTACGGTGTTACAACTTGGATAGTTATGGTTTTATGATATATTAAATTGAAATTTTTGGGATGTGATTTTTAGGTTGTTTCAACTTTGGCATCAATAAATGCATGTTGATTCGATAATTGTGCTTTTGTCCCAAATACAAGAAATAACAATGTACTTTTGGTATTTCATGTATTTTAAGTGAAAGAAATAGCATTGTACTTTGGTATTTCTTGTAATTAAGGTTCTTTAGCAAAAATAGAGTAAATTATTTAATTTCAAAGTCTCATGTATTTATATAATGATCAATATCAGATGCATGTTGATTTGGTAATTGTGTTTATGTTTTAAGTGCAACAAATAGAAATGTATTTTGGTTTTTTGTCCCTAGTTTAAAAATAGCAATGTACTTTGGCTTCATTAAATGCATGTTGATTTAGTAATTTTGGTTTGTGGTGATTATTTGCTAAAAGCTTTGGTAATTAGGTTTTTGTCCCAAGTGCAAGAAATAGCAATGTACTTTAGTTTTTTTTTAGTTTAAAAATAACAATGTACTTTGGTATCAATAAATGTGTGTTGATTTGATAATTGTGTTTTTGTCCCAAGTGTAAGAACTAACAATATACTTTTGATATTTCTTGTATTTAAATGCAAGAAATAGCAATATACTTTGGTAGTTTTTGTTTATGTTAGATAATTTAACTTATAAGTTTATATATATGTTGTTATTTATTATGTAGTTGGAAAATCTTTAGGTAATGCTCAACGACCCGACATGTAGGGAGGAGTTTTATGCGTTTTTTCAATCGGGGAAAGATCAAGAAGGAAACGATGGGAATAGAGATGATGGTTCGTTGGATAATTAATTTGTGTTTTGTATATTACACTTGTCGTGATATTTTTGCTACTTGTTAGAATTGTAAAACTTTGGTTGTTTATTTTGATATGAAATTAATGATAACACTATTTGGTATCTAATCAGATGTTATTATGTCTTTTTTCTGCATTTAATATCGTTATGTATCAATTTTTTTTGCACCCAATTTAAAAAAAAATTAAAAAAGAAAAATGTTATTACCACGACAAGGGGTACAAGAGCATTAGCAGCGACAAATATTTTTACCGACGACATTTTGAGAAATATCGATAGAATAGTAGCGGCGACTTTTTACTAGCGACGTGTCGCCATTATTAGCTTTACCGATGACTCTTCTAGACTTTAGCGGCAACTTTTGTCGCCACTAATTCCCTTTTTTGTTGTAGCGGGTGTCAAAACGCTATAAGTTGATTTGCTATTTTTAGTGTTTGACAAAATGATAAAAAAAAATGCTTCCTAGAGATGTTGGAAAGCTATAAGTTATAAAGAGTTTTGATAAGTCAAATGTTACGTTAATGACTTATCAAAAATGACTTATCTCTAGTTCGACACCGTTATAAGATGTTTTTAACAATTAGTCTATCCAAACAATTATGTTAATTTATACCGGTATGGAACTGATAAGGCTTAACGATGTCGTACCCTAATTATCGGCGATATCCGACATGGTTTAATGCACCGTCGATGAACACCGGGCCGTGACCTCAATTTCACCACTGGTGTACTATTGGCGGTAGGTTTTCACCGACTGCAAAAAATTGAAATTGTGACCGTTTGGGGAAAGTGAACGTTGCCAAACGGTTGGCAACGACTATATGGCACATTTTCCTTTAAAAAAAACAAATATATTATATATACAATTCATTTTTCCAAAATTTAACCACACTACACACTCTCTACAAACATTTTTCATTGAAAATGTCTTCCAACAATCTGAACTCTTCCAAATAAAATGCTTTAAACCAAATTGTTAACAACTTTTTAGCACTTTTCGGCTACGATCCGTCATCACCACCACCTTACCGGCCACAAATGGATGATGTTACTAGCTATTATTCATAATTCAAAATGCTCCAACAATTCCATTTCCAATCTCAACCCCAAACCCAATTTCCATCCCAAACACCTTTCACACCTTCAACCGAAATTGTTTCTGATTCTGAGCACGAAGAACAACAACAACCTCAACAATAAAAGAAAGGGAAGGCCGATCCGAGAAGATGGACACAAAAAGAAGAAGTTGAGTTAACAAAGGTACGAGTCGGCATATCTGAAGATGGTGGCATGGGAAAAGGGTCAAAATCGTGATTAATTTTTGTTACGCATCACAGAGCGATTTTGTAAGGGAATGGGTCGAGATCCAGATTATCGGACCTCCGACCAATGTAACTAGAAATGGAATCTTATGAACAAACTCGTGACACGTTGGAATGGAATTTACACAAACTTTGAAAAGCAATGGGCTAGCGGAGAAAGTGAAACGAGTTTATTGTAAAAACACACGCTACATTCCAAGATGATATGCTAAAGCCTTTTAAGTTTATTCATGTGTGAGAAGTTGTCAAAAGAAGCATTAGGTGGAGGGAACTTGCAACACATGAAGAAATTGTTAATTTGCCAAAAAGAAGCCAAACATCTTCATATTTGAGCTCACAAGTCTCATCGGATGGTCACGTAGGTTCTAATCTTAATGATGATAACGACGACATCGAAGAAATACGCCCACCTCCTCCTCCAATGGGAAGGGACAAAACAAAAGTTCGAGTAAAAGGAAAAGGGAAAACGACATCTTCAAATTCGTCAGTCGGAACCAAGCGGTCAGCTAGATCAGAAGAAATGATGACACAAATGACACAAACAAATTCAACTTTGGAGAAACATATGACTGAAACCGTCCAACTCACAGAATGTTCATTGCTAATGCAAGATGTGAGACACTTCGACCCCGAAGATCAAGATGAGGCTAAAATGGTGAAGCAGTCGATTCTTTTAAAAATATAAACTAAACCACAAATGAAAGTTCAATGTTTTTTTTTATTTATTTTTTATTTTTTTTAATAATTTTAACTTCATGGTTTTTTTTAGGTTTTTAGTGTAATTTTTAATTTTTAGGATTTTTAAAATGTAATTTTTAAAGTTATGTTATTTTTTAGTATGGTTTTTACAAAAAAATCATTGAAATTAATTAAAAAGAAAAAAAAAACCTCATAGGTAAACCATTTACCAGATTCTAATCCATATATGAAAATTGTAAAACCTGTAAAAGTTGATATTAATATTTTTTTACTATTACCCTTTAACCTAATAAGTTAAAAAGCTCTTTTTTTTTAAAACTTAGAGCAAAACCGAATGAAGTTCATATTCTAATAACAACAATACAACATGATATATTGTAGCATGAATAATTATAGAGTCAAAAAAATATCAAATAGAAACAGTTTCCGAAGAGTATGTTTTCAAATTACTGAAGAAAAAAAATATTTCTTACCACATAAACATAAACATGCCATGGATTCTAATTTTTTGCAGAAATAAAATACTAGATTATCATATAAATATAAAATTTATGTGGTAAAATTTATTCAAATAAAAAAAATATGAAATACTAAAATGGAATAGTCATTTGGAATTCTCAAAAACTATTTTCACTTCACATAACTAGATTCCCGACTTTTCAATCTCAAAACCAAATTCAATGATCAGTTTCGCCTTCCGGAATTATTCGTGTGGATCTTGAACCCACATGACATTTCCTTTGTTCTTCTTACTTGAACCTCCCATGGGCCATTGGAGTGAATCCAATTACACCCTCTGTAGTGGGAGCCTTCTTCGACAGTTGCCACTTGCCACAGTGGAGGAAGGGAAAGAGAACTTATGCCAGGGAGGTGGTTGTGGTGGGTGGCAGCTGGGAACGGAGTCTTGACAGCGATGGCCAATACTACGCTTCAACAGCATCTTATCATGAAAGAGATGATACATTTCCTGGTAGAAATAATTACGCTGCGTAATTTCCGTTACCTTTTTTACTTTTAAGCAAAGAATATTATCCTCTTCTTTGACCAAACAAGTGGCTTTTATTTCTCCACCTGTTCCCATATCTTCTTTAACTTACACTTCGAGGGTTATTCAATTCATCACATTGATCAAGTTTTTCTGCTAACTGTTTCGTATGAATTTTCTCCAACAAGATTTAATTTTATATAAGGGAATGGCGTCTTCTTCAACTTCATACATTCCTAAGAGCTTTAAGTATGATGTGTTTTTGAGTTTTAGAGGTGTAGACACTCGTACCAATTTCACCGATCATCTTTATGAAGCTCTTCAGCAGAAAAGCATTTATACTTACAGGGATGACGAGAGAATCAAGAAAGGGAAAAGGATCAACGATGAGCTTCTCGGATCTATTGAAGACTCAAAATTCTATATCATTGTTTTCTCCAGGAACTATGCGTCTTCTTCTTGGTGTTTGGATGAGCTTGTGAAGATAATGGAGTGTCACAAGACGACTATGCATACTGCTTATCCCGTATTTTATGATGTGGAACCCACAGAAGTCCGCAAGCAGATCGGGGCAGTTGGAGAAGCCTTTGCCAAACATGAAAAGGAAGAGGCTGCTGGGAAATGGAGAGAGGCTTTGAAAGAAGCAGCCGATCTCGCAGGGTGGGAATTAAAGAAAACTGATGATGGGTAATTAAATCCTTTCACATATCTCTACAATATTCTTTTATTTTGTTTCTTTCTAACTACGTTTTAGAAGTGTTACATGGCATCTTGTGTGTATATGGTGAAATTCTAACACCAATACGAGTCTTGTGGAAAGATTAAACAGGAAACATGATTATATGTTATAGATCTCAAAGTAATTGTTTTCATCATAAACAATTAAATCTGGGTGAACTAATTAAATCTTATTCAAATACAGGCATGAAGCTAAACTCATCAAAAGAATTGTTGAAGAAATTTCATTAGAGTTACGTTCCATCAATTTCAGCGTTGATGAAAAACTAGTTGGCATAGAGACACGGATCAATGAGATCACATCATCTTTAGGAACTGGTTCTGATGATGTTCGCATGATTGGGATCTGGGGTATAGGAGGTGGTGGAAAGACAACTTTGGCCAGAGCTATTTTTAATAAAATTTATTTCGAGTTTGAATGCAAAAGCTTCATTGAGAATGTTCGGGAAGTTTCGAAAGCTTCTTTGTCCGGTTTGAAGTTGTTGCAAAAGCAAGTCCTTTCAGATGTCCTAAATGATCAATGCATCAACATAAGTAGTATTTATGAAGGGAAAAACATGATGAAGAAGATGATGCGTAATAGAAAGGTTCTTCTTGTTCTAGATGATGTGGACCATATAGACCAGCTTGAGGCGTTAGCTGGTGATCTTAATTGGTTCAAGCCGGGAAGTAGAATTATCATTACAACAAGAGATAAGCAAGTGCTTGTAGCACATAGGCTGAAGTTGATTCATACTCTCAATTTGTTATCAAATAAGGAAGCGATTTGCCTCTTCAGTAGGTATGCATTTGGGAAAGAGACTCCAATTCAAGAGTACGAAGAACTATCAGGACAAGTTGTATGTTATGCTGCTGGTCTTCCCTTAACAATCAAAGTTTTGGGTTCGTTTCTCTGTGGTAAAAATAAGAGTGAATGGATAGATGCCCTAGAAAGACTAGAAACAATTCCGTTAAATGAAACTCTAAAAATATTGGAATTAAGCTATATCGGCCTAGAGGAAGATTACAAGGAAATATTTCTACATGTCGCATGCATATTGAAAGGTGAGCTGAAAGGCTATGCAATCCAAGTGCTTGAAAGTTGTGGATTTCATGCTAAAAATGGTTTAAGGGTTCTTGAGCAAAAATCTCTCATAACTATTTATGATAATCATGATGATGAGCATGTTGGCATGCATGACCATTTTGAAGAAATGGGCAAGAATATTGTTCGTCGTTCGCACCCGGATATGCCTAACAAATATAGCAGATTGTGGGATAGCAAGGAAATTGAAGATATATTGGCTAATGACTTGGTAAGGATCAAAGTTTATTTGTAAATTGGAGAAACTAACACATTTTAATTTGTTGCAACACAAGTTTTTTGATAATTACTATTTATTGGTTATAGGGTACTAAAGCAACAAGATGTATAAAATTCCACAAGGGGGGACTCGATCCGGAAACCATTATGAAAGGTCTTAGAAAGATGAAGGAACTGAGGTTTCTTGATGTGGCTTTGCGAGATTTTTACTCGATTCAAGAAACGAATAATGAACTCATGCCAAACTTTCTAAATGCTTTAGGATTTCTGTGTTGTAATTGGAAATCTAATGAAACTCCATACTTTCCAAATGCTTTACAATATCTGCGTTGGGACGAGTACCGTTTTAGGTATTTACCCAAAACATTTCAAGCAAATGAACTTGTGTCACTTGAGATTGCTGAAAGCGATATCATACAACTCTGGGAAGGGAGAGAAAGAAAGGTAAAATTGTGGTTGATTCTTGTTTTACATGATTCTTTAAATGCTACACTACTATTGATGTGTTATTAAAACAATATTCATTTTCTTGTTTTGCTTATTATGCTAGGTTCTTGACAAGCTCAGATTCCTTGACCTTAGTTATTCTATGTTGAGGACCTTTGACCTTGGGCTTACTCCAAATCTCGAGAGGTTGAATCTTAAAGGATGCAGTCATTTGGGAGCACTTTACATGCCCGTTGAATGTGTAAAGCTTAAATATCTCAAGCTTGATGGTTCAAAGCTGAGGACACTTGACCTTGGGTTAGCTCCAAATCTTGAATTGTTAGATCTATACGATTGTTATAATTTGGTAGAACTTCATGCACCCAATGGATTCTTAAACCTCAAATACCTCAACCTCAGAGGGTCAAAGTTGAAGACCCTTGACCTTAGATTGGCTCCGAATCTTGAGACGCTGTTTCTTTTTAGCTGCAACGATTTGGTAGAGCTTCACATGCCACGTAGGTGTCTAAATCTCAGATCCCTATTACTCAATAATTCAAAGTTGAAAACCCTTAACATTGGTCTGACTCCAAATCTCGATGTTTTAAGTCTTACAAGCTGTTACGATTTGGAAGAACTACACATGTCAGATGCATGTCAAAAGCTCACATCCCTCTTCATTAGTCGTTCAAAGTTGAGGACTCTTAACCTAGGGTTGTCTCCGAATATCACAGCTTTGCATCTTCAGGAATGTGATGATTTGGTAGAACTTCACATACCTCGTATTTGTCTAAATCTCAGATCGATAGTACTCTATAACTCAAAGTTGAGGACCCTTGACCTTACGCTGACTCCAAACCTCAAGTCTTTATATCTCCCAAATTGTTTTCATTTGGAAGAACTTCACGCTTCCATTGGATGGCTTAAAAATGTTGTCGACTTAGAGTTAAATGGTTGTTTGGGGTTTACATCTTTTTCTTTTCACATAAAAAATCACAATTCTGGTAGAGAGAATGAATCACCTGAGGTTCGTATTGCAGCTCGGTTACATTTCACCTTAGAAAGATGCCCATTTCACCCCGACAATAAATTGCCAAAGTTTGAGTTTGCATGTTTTCGTAAAGAAGAGCTACCCTCATTGACTAGAAACCTTGAGAAGCTTATTTCTATGGGATCGTGTGCGTGCAACAAACTTGAAACTTTTTCAAGAAGCATCTGTGGGTTACAACGTTAATGGATGCTTCGTTTAGAGACAGTATTCCAGATGTGCCCAAATGAGTTTATTGTCTTCGAGTTAAAACCTGCCATGACGTTGCAGATCCAGAAGGTGGCATTTCTTTTCCATGCATTATACAACGTCATGTCATTAATATATGCCATTTGGTGTGTAAATTGCTACTCAAATTATTATGTTGAATTTTAATAGGTTTGTCGTTTAATAAATCATTCTATTATATTTAATAACTGGAAGTTTAAAAACGTTAATAACTATAAATACCAAAGAGCATATAGCCCAACAATATCAATTTTATTGAAATCGAAAGTTCAAGTCTGGTCACCAAGAGTCTATATTCACCAAATTGGAAGATATGAAGGATGATATAACCAAATTGAGTGAACCTTAATTTGGTCCTTCACCAAAAGTATGTTAGGGTGATAAAGCATGTTATATTTCAGTACCATTACGGGCGGCACTTGGATTACATAGGTGTGTTAGGATTTGCATCCTTGATACATGTAATTTGTTCTAAAAGTTAAGAACCATAATCATAATATGGAGATCTAGGGAAGCATTGAGGGATGGTTTTAGGTTTAGAACTACAAAAGGAGTCTTGTACTATATCAAATGTACTTGCCATTTGTTAGAGGTATATTTTATATGCTTTAAGTTATGTTGTATTGGATTGATTTCTTTGTAAAGGCCCATACGGCTCATATAGTCTAGCTAGCCTAACTTTCCTATTATTTTTTGTATCTTTTGTATTTATATGGTGAGAAGACAATCAAAGTTTTTATGGGAAAATCTGTTATTATAAATAAAGGTAATTTTGTCATATATCAATCTCTAATAAGTTTTTGATACTTGTCATTTTGTAATATTTTTTAAATAAATAATATCCATATGTCAATTTATAGTTTTTTCTAATTTTTAAAATTAAAAAACCACATAATATTTATACTTAGACCGCTAAGTATGAGCAACGCATACGGCGTTATGCTAATTTGGCAGCCTCATAATGGCGCCATAACGCGAGCACACCGCCCCACCCATCCCGTTATTAGCCGTTACGTGATGACGCGTTGACATGGTAACGTGTAATTTTTCGAACATTGATATCTTTCACTCGTTTAAAAACGGTAAATTCAAAAAAAATACTAATTATTTTTTTTAAACCATATAAATAAATATATACCTCATTCTTTTTACCTATACACTACAAAAATACTAACCTTTAGCGGCAACGAAAGTCGCCGCAATTGATCATCTCTGCCGTCGCTAATGCTATTAGCAACGACATATCGTCGCTAATGCGTCGCCGCAGTTGGTTCGTAGCTAATAGCCCATGTCGTCTCTAATACTGTCATCGCTAATAATTGTCGTCTCTAATACACTGATGTCGTCTCAAATAGTGTCGTCCTTATTAATATTCCGGCCACCGGTAGGATTTTTCCGGTGATACTCTCTGGAAGCCATGTCGTCACAATTGACAGTAGTCGTCTCTAAAGGCGTCGTTGCTAATGTTTATTTTTTTTTTTCAAGAAAAACTTATTTTTTATAATATTAATTTATATATATTATAAAATACTGTTTTGATAAAAATACATATATAAATACATACGACATTATATAAAAACATCAAAAATACCATATTCCATTAACTATTTTCCAAACAAACATCAAACATACCATATCTAATAAATCTCAAACAAACGTTTAATATATATCATACATAAACTATTTTCCAAATCAAAAGTAACATCCTCCATATCATAAAACAAGAAATACTAGTTGTCTTCGTCTTCCCCACCGTCCTCCCCATCGTTGTTTTCCTCGTTGACTTGGTTTTTAAACGAGCGAATAATGTCTCCAATGGCCGTCACAAATGTCGGGTTTTGAAGAAAAGCGTTCACATCAACATCCTACAATTAAGTCACAAACAAATAAGTTATGAACAATTCAACAAACCATCAAAGCACCAAATCAATTAAGTCTATAACAATTTAAGAAACTACCGAGCTACCAAAAGTTACTACAAATACATTAAGTTCTTAACAATATAACAAAGCAACCAATTTTTTTAAGAATTTAACAAGTACCTGCGTTGGTTGCGATGCTTGTGACTGTGGCTGCCATTGGGATGAAGCACTTGTACCCGCAGTTGAAGAAGCTTTAGGCCCAATGCCTCTCACATGCCCCCTTCGAGTACCCAACACCTTCTCAAATATTGCGATCCAATCAATGGTGTCTGGATCACCACCAGAGTCGGCTATGTGATGAGTCTGTAGAGCAACCTCAGCAACTAAGGCATTCTGTATTTCAAAAAGATTGTTAATATACGTTAAAACTAACAAAAAAAATTAACAATCTACTTCATTTTTAAGTAATAATAACTTACATATTGCTCTTCAACCAATGGATCAACAAATTCCCCTCTTTTATTTACATGCGCACGATGAAATACTTCAAGTCTATTCAAATTCTGTTTAACATTACAAAATATGTTATAGTTGAATAAACATTAAAAAATATGTTATAACTGAATAAACATTATTGTAACTTACTTTTTTGAAACAAGCACTACCGTAGCTGCACGTCCCTCCACGATTCTTCACTACTTGCTTCTTCCGGCATTCTTTGTTTCCAGCGGATCGTTTTTGATGTTTTTCTGTTAAGAAATGGTCAATAGCAGCATTCCAACGCTGCTGATCCATACCCCTAGGGGCTTGAGCCCTTGCTGCCTCCACATTCCCTGCAAAATCATCAAAACGGTTTTTTGCAATATTTTTGCGGCCTCTATACCGCGCACATATCCGATTATTCAGTGATGCCCAATAAGTTGAAGCCATGGGATGATTTGTAATCGCGTCAAAATCAAACCATCTCTACAAAAAAAATAGATAAATTAAAAATAAATCAAAATTAAAAATATTAAATATATAACTTTATAAATAATTTACCGAAAGATACTGCAACATTCCAACCCTTTCGGCTTCAGAAACCTCTGTCTTGTATCTTTTTCAAAACCGATGTCCCGCCACATAGCTCCCAACCTCCCGAATAAAACATTCATACACCTCCCCAATCGGCATGTTAGTATTTACGTCAAATACTATCTTAAGAGGCCGTTCACGTTAGCTTTATAGAGTTTGTGCATTTTTTTTTACCGCCATGCCTCTTCGTTTCGGAGCACCACTGCATAAAAAAATATTAGTCAGAATAATTTTTTATATACATACAATGTGAAATACATGAATTAGAATAGATTTTAATTACCATCGTTTTGGTGATCACCAAAACCCCCACCGAACGGATGTGGTGGCTCGTCACCACCGTCGCCTCCATGACCCATCACAGCAGCCATGAGATGGAGCAATGCAATCCAAAAAAATGACATCCTGAAAAATTATAACACAATATGAATATATATATATAATATATATATATATATATATATATATATTATATATATATAATATGACTACAACAAATACAAACCTTATTTTACTAATTAAATGTAAAAAGATTTTTTAATCATTCTCGCCCCCAGACACTTCAGTGTCTGCCGATACATCACTATCATAATCAGAATCTTCCTCATCATAATCAGTCTCGCAATCAGACACATTATTGATGATACTCGTTGGTGGGTCAACTTCAATATCATCTTCAATCGATTGAGAATTTTGAAAGTACTGGCTAAAGTCAATTGAGAGAGTGAAATTGGAAGAAGCATTACTAAGAACGACATCGGTTGAATCATTGTCGATATTTTCAATGGGATCATGATCAACATCATTCATCGGTAGATCCCAAATTCTTCTATGATTAACATTTTCAACAACCCACCGTTGGGTGTCATTTTCGTCACTTGGAGAAGGTTCTTGGATGTAAAATACTTGCTTGGCCTGCGTAGCAAATATGAGTTGATCTTCGCTGCTCAATTCGCGTTGTGGGTCGATAGTGGTGAAATTATTATCAGATTTAACTCCTGCAGTATCGAACCACTTGCAACGAAAAAGTACGGTGGAATATTTATGAGGATAATGCAACTCGATAATCTCTTCTAGCTGACCATAATATTTCTGCTTATGCTCTCCCTCAGTTAGAACCCCCGAGTTTTGTGTTGATCGTTGAGCGTCACGCATAAGTACCATATACCTAACACCATTCACTATGCAAGCGGTGTAAGTAAAGGCATGCGCATGCACACCGATTGAAAGAGCTGATAACTCCTTATTAAACTCTAGAGATTTTTGTTTTTGCATATCATAGACCTTATGAAGGAACCATTTAGGAAATTCGATTTTTTTCATCACTTTCAGGATGTAATGATTTGAATTCACTACATTGATGAAAAATATATATATATATATATATATATATATATATATATATATATATATATATATATATATAGTAAAAATGCGAAATTAAAAAAAGACAATGAATTAAAAGATAAGAACACTTACGCAATATACTTTCTGACTTCCTCACAATTATCAAGCACAAACCAATGTAAACGTTTTCTCTCCTCTAGACTGAGATTTTTCATTTTCCTTCCGCTAGTTGGTCGACACTTAGACTGAAACACCCATAGCTTTGTTTCTTCTATGATAACATCCTCGTTTCTTTCAAGGCGATTGAATCGAGTCTCAACATCTTCAAGGTACATTGAACAAAATGATAATGCCTCTTCAGCGACATAACCCTCAGCTATAGAACCTTCCGGCCTCGCCTTGTTTCTGACATAATTTTTTAGTTTTTTCATATACCTTTCAAAGGGATACATCCATCTCATACATACTGGGCCTCCAGAAATTGCTTCATCAGGTAAATGCAAAACTAAATGAACCATAATGTCAAAAAACGCAGGAGGATAGATCACTTCTAATTTGCACAATATTTTAATAATGGCTGGTTTCGCTTCTTTCATATCCTTCACCTACAATGTTCTTGAGCAAAGTTGCTTAAAAAACATACAAAGCTCTATTATTGGTGTATAAACACCTTTC